AGCAGCACCACCAGTTGTAGCATTGTGAGAGGTACGTGGCTCATCTCACCTCCTCCCCGAGGATGGTGCGATGAGTCTCCTCCCAGGGTTAGACCTACTGAAAAAACAGGGAAGCGTTCTGCTTCTCTGCTTGCTTCCATGGGTGCCTGAGCTCCGAGGACCTGAGTGTCTCTGTTCTACTGTGAGAGCTGCTGCTTATTTATGCTGACTTTTAAACAAGAGCTCACCTGGACACAGAAGGCCATTTTAATGAACTCCTAGGGAATGAGTCAGTAATCCTCTAGCTAAACAGCTAGAAGAACTACTAACGATGGAAAAATTGGCAGAGATTATTTTTGTCCTAAATAAATATTAATCTCCCACTGTTAACTCTGTCTTCTTGACTGTATAGGAGAGTGAACCTCCTTTCTTTTGGGATGCTCACCTAAGCAGCTAAAACACCAATCTTTGGAGGCAGTGATTCCTACATGCATTCTGCTTTAGATAACGGTGTATTAAGGATCCATCTGCCTCCTAGTTAAAATTGATGCAAAAAGCCAAGTCAAGCAACCAGGCATGGCAATCTCCCCATGCAATGGAAACTGCACTTGAAGTGGGTTTTCTAGGGGGAAGGTAAATCCATTTTAATCTAGCTCTGTGGAATTTACCAGCATTTCCACCTTACATTGATGGTCATGCCCATACGGAGGCAGCAGGCAGTAAAATAGAGGCGTAGAAGCCTGAGGGTGGGTGGGTTACAGCCCTTCTCTGATCACAACAGTGCACTGGGGTGAACAATCATTAAGTCCAAGGCTGCACAAACATCACGTGGGCAGTACAAAAGCACTGCCTCACAGCTGCATCTGCCTATTGCCATCCTCACCTGCCACCTCTGGGTTGGTGACAGGTGAAATGGAAACGAGCCTTGGTGATGAGTATGGTTTCTCCCTCCGAAGCCAGGCTGCCATCTCTTGTTCTAGGGGTGATGCTGAACAGAAGTTCCTGTAGGCCTGGCTGTAGAGGTCCATGCACAGATGGAAGACTGGGCACCTCAACAGCTGGCTGAGACGGAGCTGCCTGGGAGGGAAAAACCAAGAGAAGGGGTAGGGCTCTGTACCACACCACTGATCTTTGCTTGTGATAACAGGTCTGGGAAAAGCCCAACTGGGAAGTTCCCAAAGTCACTACCCTGCTCTTTTTACTCACCCCACGAAAATATGTGCGAAGGAGCATAGGCATACAAGCCATGACTTTAATTGCCATCCCAACACACAAGCAGCTGTCCCCCACAGCAGACTATGGGAGACAAAGAGAGACATTCTCATGTTCTGAGAACATAGCGGCAGTTTATTTACAGTTCCTCAGCCATTCCCTGCCCCTGCAGAGGCTGTGATAGGTCAATACCAGCTCTCACCAAGATTTAGGAGGTCCTTAGGTGGAAGCAAGATACCAGTTGTCCCAGGAATTGCCTCAGCCCCTTGACCTGAGTGCCCTGGGAAGTGGTGCTGCAGGGTTGGACAATGGCTGGGACAGCAGGTGGATACCGGCACGAGTTGAGAAAACTCCTTCTTCAGCGGCAGTTGCTGGGATCTCCCACTTCAGATCCATGGGCAGGGACAACCTCAAGCTGCCTCAATTCCTTGAAATCCTTTGGCACGTGGAGTCCATAAGCATCTCTCCCACCCTCTCCAGCACAGGCATCCCAGGAAATAGCTCGGCATGGCTTAGTATGGCCGAAACTTGCGCTGGGCTCTCATCAGCGCAATTCTCTGCTTGTCCTCCTCAAATTTCTTCCTCAACTGTGCGATGTCTGAAAGAGGCAGAAAGAGAAAGAGGACAGGTCACAGGGGAGCAGCCGATCTCCCTCTCCTGGGGAGCTTCACTTCCACACAACAGGAGGGGCTCAGCTCAGTCCTGACAGCCTCAAACACACACTTCCCAGAGCAGGTCCTTCTGCGCCTGGGCCGAGTGCCAAGCTGGGGCTCTGGCCGTTCATCTCCGGCAGTGCTGCAGCTCCCTCTTGGGGAGGAAACAGGCTAGTTTTGCCTTTCAACTGCTGCCTCTCTGCAGACTGAAGAAACATCTATTGGAAAGCCATGACCTACACACTCTCCCGCAAAATATTCCAGCAGCCCTTGCTAGGACAGATGCTGGCAAGGGGCCCCCAAAAGCTGGCAAGGCCGTTCGCACAACCACCCAGCCGACTGTTCACTTGCAGCTGGATGTAGCCTCCACTGAAGGAAAAAGGATGCTCTTCGGGCCAGTGTGAGAGACGGGAGGCAGAAGCAGGAGGAGACTCAAACACTCACGCTCTCTCTTGGTCTCACGATGCTGCCAGGCATAGAAGTTGAGCAGCTCTTTGCGGGCCCTTTTCTGCTTCTCCTTCTCCAGCACCTGCAGGTTGGCAGCCTCTGTCCGGGGCAGGCCAGGCTTCCGGCCCTTCCGCGTTACCTTCACCCAGCCCTCCTCATCTGGAACGCCCTCCTCCTTGGCTGCTTTGGCTTCTTCCTGTAAAGACAGAAGGGTGAGGCAGCTCAGTGCGGAAAGGCTGGCAGCCAACCTGCTGCACAGCTTCCCCACCGTCCCCCTAACGCACATGCAAAGCTACAGCTCCTGCTTCTGCACAAGATTAGAAGGAAGGTGTGGGACCAAGGGCACATGCACTCAACTGGGTCACAACACTACGCGCCAGCCAGGACCCAATTTATTTGTGGATACCTGTTGTAAACGCTGGGTGGAAGGACCAGGACCAAACCAGGACCTGACCGCCCACCAGCAACTGGGAGTAAAACCTTGACAGCCAGCGTGTTTCCCTCTGCCCTTTCCACTCAGACCTGGGCACTGAGAGATCCTCTCTCTTCCTTTCCCCTCCCCAAACAAACTGCTTAGCCAGGTTCCCTCCCCAGCCTGCCCTCACCTCTGCTATCTTTTTGTCATACTCTTGCATGTAGGTGTCCACCTCGGCCTTCAGCTCCTCCCGATCCACGACTGAGGCTGCGTAGCTGTTGATCCACTCTGAGACAGAGGGCAGAAGTCAGCAGTAGCCTCTGATAGAAGCAAGCCCTAGTGTGATGCCTTTGGGCAAGTTTAGAGAGAACTGCTGTGGAGATGGACACAGTCTGTTCCCATTTCTTTTCAGCCTCCCCACTGCCACAGCTCAAGAAACTTGTGGCCCAGGCCACAGTCAGTAAGTGATGGGAAGAGCTCGCAAATTTCTCAAGCAGAAAGTGGGCTAGCCTTAAGCCCAAGAGATGCAACAGTCAGGGCTGTGTTCCTCCCAAGGGGTCGCATCCAAAGTGCTGTCATCTTGACTGATACCTGGTGCCTGTTATTGAGCCTGACTTCCACTTTGAGGGCAAGACACAGCCAGTTTCTCCGAATCTTTGTGATATTGAAGAAACGTCAGAAAAAACTACCCTTCCATTGTACCAAGTGATCCCATTCTCCCATGGGGTCACTGGACCAAATCCCAAGATCCAGCACAACAAGGTTGCTACCTCATGAATAATAAAAGCAGGACAATGAAGCACTGGACGTCTGCCGGCTCAGTACAAAATGGTGAGAATTAGTCTGGGACATACAGGGCAGGATTCAGTGAGGAATGAGTATTGTTCTTCCCCAGCACTAGCTAGCAAGAAGATAGCTAGGGATGACTTACTGCTAATGCCGGTTTTCACAGGGTGACTTTCTGTTGATATCAGCAAGGGACCTTCCCGTGACAGGGCCTTGGCTGCCTGGACACCAGCTGGTTTCCTGAACACCACATATGCTACTTGAAATCCCTAAAAGAAAGAGACACCTAGGCCAGTCAGATACACCAGGGAAACTGGCGATGCAGCAAGGAGCCGCAGTACAAATAACAATAAAATAAATCAAACAAGTTACAGTGGAAAAGCAAAAAAAAGATAACGTAAACTTAAATAAGTAGTCACGTCACTCAATACCCCCAAACGGTTTTCCACATCTCATGTTCCAAATAGTACTTCAGCACTTATGATCTTTTCCCATTCTGACCACTAAAGCATCAGTATTCCTCACCTGCCCCCCCATCCCCCGAGCTTTACCGTCACAGTCTTGCAGTTGAAGAATTTGGATGTGAGTTTTTCTTTTTTCTCTCCTGACCCTGGCTTCTCACAGATGTCCACAGACTGGACACTCCCGCAGCAGGCGAACAGCCTCGACAGAGAGTCCTTCACGCATAAAATAAGAGAGAACGAACGGTACAGGAAAGCAGGAGCAATTCCTCTCCCCACCGTCTCGCCCACGGACTACCGGAGCACAGCAGGCGGCTCT